GCACTTCCACATGCCCATCAAAAGTGATGTCACATTGAATTGAGCATCCATCAGTAATGCAGGCAGATCATATGTTCACTCTCATGAACAATACCTGAACAGTCTCTCTTGCAGTAACATGCAAGCTGTGATGCAGAGTGCTAATGCTTCACACAAAGAGTGACAGACAGTGACTGAGTCTGTGGGAGGTTTTTTATCTGACTGCTAACTCCTCTATGGATCTCATTAAACTCCATCAACACGTGAAGAGCTTCAGCAAACTGAATTGTACTGAATACAAAGGCAATGTTTGATGTAACGTGGATTGATCACGTTACTGTGAGAGTTAACTGTAAATGAGGTTAAATTGTTAACATAGGTTCAGGAGCATGGCCACGCCTAAAACTCCGCCTCGAACCACGGCCACCCCTATTTATATCCGGCAAAACTTCCGGCCACTGCTTGTCTCCATCCTTTCAAGGACTGACAGCCAGACCGTGATTCACGCCGCGCGTCGTCACGGTTCAAACAAGCTAAACGCTACCACGAGAACATTCAACTCACCATGGATCCCGAACTGCTGATCAACTCACCGGAGTCAGACGAAGATCTTTCGACATCGGCTACCCGCCATCCACGTTTCAGCAGTTGGATCTTAGCCAAGCATCCGAACGGAGCCGTGTGCGCTCGGCAATCAGTGTCCCACACACCAGCCGCGACCGCTCCCACTCAAGCTCCCCCAACGAGACACCTCCAACTCCAGACAGGTCCCAGGCTTCGTCTACTCCGCCAGCGTGGGCAAACAACCGGGGCCACAACAGGCACAGCCAGCTCCAATCTCCCCACCAACGGCAGCCTGCCTCACTAGCAGCCTCCGGCCACTCGCAGCGGCGCACTCGACACGCCTCTCGGACGGAGCCGCACTCCGAAACGGAGCCCGAACTCAGGAGGTGGACAGTCATTCAACTCCAACGTTTCCTCAGAGAAAACGGCATCCACTTTCACCTAAATGACAACAAGGCTAGACTGTTCAACCTCTACAAAGCCTACAGCAGCACAACGGCAAGAACAACGAGACACACAACTCTTCCTGCTCCAGAGCCAACCACCGCGCGGCACGCGCACCACGGGTCGTGACGTCACAGGCCTCCGTCCTCCTCCACGGACACAGCCCGACTCACCAGCACCCCCTGGTTGGGGCCAGGTCGTATTGCCCTCTGTGCCTGCTCTCTCTGTGTCTGACATGTCGCAGCTCATGTCAACCTTTCTCTCATCCCTGTGCTCACAGGCTTCACGAAATCCCCTTGCACATACATCCCTTCATCCCTTCTTCTTCTTCTTCTCTACCTTCAGCAGTCCACAGCAACCCAGCTTCTGCTTACCTTCCTCCTTTAGCAGCTAACCCCGTATCAACAGCACCTCACCCAGTAACCCAAGGGGCCATGCTACATGCTAACCCATTAGCCGACTCTTACCCAGTACCTTCTTTTCCCAACTGTTCTATCCTTTCCCCCCCCCTCCCACATCCCTACCCCATCCCTTCCCCATCCCTACTCCATCCTCCCTCTGCAACCAGCTACACTCTAGCCACAGCAACACCGCCCATCCAGCCAGCCTCCTCAGTCTATCGCCCTTCCCCCGTGTTCCCCATCTTGCGCCAACAGATTCCCCTAGGTAACTACGTAGACTTGGCTCAGCTACTACAGCCATCAATCATCGACACTAGCCAGCCCAGGGAAATGCAGACCAACTTCGGTTTAGTCCAGCTGCGAAATCCATCACCTCTGAGGTCTAAGGACTTAACCCCCGCAGAGTTCGCCCTAGCTTTTTCCCTTTACCGCGACGTCATCTGCTCAGTCTATCCCACACGCAGAACCGAGTTGGACGACCTCCTCATAGAGCTCGACATGGCCTTACACTTCGGAGACTCAGGTTTTTACACCTACCACGTCCACTTTGCTAGCCAAGCCGCCGGCCGCATCAAGCAGTTCAACCAGGGAACATACTGGGGCGCTCTGGACTCCGAGCTTTACTGCCGCATCTTCGCAGCACGCGCATCCCTCTCTTGCCAATTATGCGGAGCCCCTTCCCACCCGGCCTCAGCGTGGTCAGTCAGCGCCCCACCACCCGAGCCGCCCCGCTCACTCCCCTTTCCTTCAAGAGGCAACGCCTCAACCTTCAACCGCCTGTCACCTGCCGCACCCCCACCTCCCATCATCCCTAGGCCCGCAAACGAATGTTAACCAACCAACGCCCCCGTTTCAAAGGGCGTCAACAGACGCGGAAGGCCAATCCTCTACCAGGGAGGCAGGATGGTGCGCAACAATTTCAATGACCTAGGCTGCTCTCTTTCTAGCTGCCGCCTCATGCACAGCTGCTCTTTCTGCGGCGGCGCTCATGCCAGGAGCACCTGCCCTCACAACCCAACTACACCAGCAGATTGAATAGCACGGCACCTCAGCACACCCGTCAAGATAAGCAACTTAGCTACCGCCTCAGTGAATCATCCAGATAGTTTGTTTACTTTCTCACCAATGGCTTCACCCATGGTTTCCCCCAGGCATAGCAATACTGCCTGACACATCTCACATCTGCCACAACCTTCAGTCCGCTTTAACAGAACCTCACACCTTCGAGACCTTACTGGCCAAAGAAGTCAAAGAAGGATTCATGATAGGCCATTCGATAGTCCCCCCTTTCCAGTATCCGCATCAGTCCAGTAGGCATAGCTACTCGGAAATACTCCGGGAAAAGAGGCTCATAATAGACCTGTCTTCTCCACACGGCTCAGCCATCCCGAGCATTGACAGCGTCATTCCAAGCCCAGACTTTTCGATGCAATACGCAAACATCGACCACGCCATCACCCTCATCCGCTCAGCAGGCCGGGGAGCATGGCTCTCTAAGGCAGACATCACCAGTGCACTCAAGATCTTGCCTATTCACCCAGACTCCTGGCGTTTCTTTGGAGCGTACTGGAAGGGAGCCTATTACATCTCAGTACGCCTCACATTCGGCTGCAGAAGCAGTCCCAAAATCTTTGACTCCCTTTTAGAAGCTCTGTGCCGGATCTTGACAAACAACCACAGACTCCCCTATGTGCTCCATCTTCTCGACGACTTTCTCACTATCACTCCACCATCCTCACCCCCCCTGCCACGGGCTGAGCACACTCATACAAACATTTTTCAAACCTTGGCATTCCTCTGTCTGAAGAGAAAACCTCAGGGCCTACAACCTCCATTGAGTTTCTAGACATCACCCTGGACTCAATGTCTTTCCAGGCTTCTCTATCCTCAGAGAAAGTACAGCGCATCACTCTCCTCTTGTCAAACTACTTATAGGCAGACAGATGCACAAAACGGCAGCTGTTAGCCCTCCACGGCAAACGACTCTCTCATATTCACACTCCGAAGGAATAAAACGGATCAGCTGGGAATTTCTTTACCCATCCACATCTTTACATTACATTACATTACATTGCATTTAGCTGACGCTTTTATCCAAAGCGACTTACAATAAGTGCGTTCGACCAACAAAATACAAACTTGAAGAATACAGAATCATATAAGTGCATCAGGTTTCATAGAGCAAAACATTTCAAGTGCTACTCAACTGGCTTTAGGTAAGCCAGTCCTTTATTAGTATATAAGTGCTTTGTTAGTAATTATATCGCTCGAAGTGGAGTCGAAAGAAATGATCTTCCGCCTGAACTCGTATCCCAGCCCATACGAGCCACTAACCAAATACCTCAGCGCAAGGTACGATGCACACGCAACGCCTCAACTCTTTCTCACCGAAACAGAAACGGCCACACGTTTCTGGTTCCAGAGACACTTCCACAATGTGTTGCTTATTTTGGGGATATGTTCAGAACATTATTCGAGCCATTCCTTCTGCATTGGCGCAGCGTCCACAGCAGCTTATGTGTGTGTGTGTGTGTGTGTGTGTGTGTGTGTGTGTGTATGTGTGTGTGTGTGTGTGTGTGTGTGTGTGTGTGTGTGTGTGTGTGTGTGTGTGTGTGTGTGTGTGTGTGTGTGACAGACAAAGACAGTACAACGTAATCCTTAATATGGATTTTGGATGTTTGACTGGATTACAGAAAACATCATTAAGTCCCACTTTATTATTATTTATGTTAATTATTATAACGTGTTACATCATATTATTTTGTATTACTCTGTATATTATATAACCGTTTCTTATATTAAATGATCTTATAAAGTTGTTGTTAATGTATTTGCTAACAGGCCAAAGTTTCTCTCCTCAGAGGACTAAGGAGAAACCTTTTTTGTTGACCGCCTCGGATCAATTATTCTGTGGACACGGCTGTCATCTGAATACATTGCATCATATTACTGAGAGGCCAACACACACACACACACACACACACACACACACACACACACACACACACACACACACACACACACACACACACACACACACACACACACACACACACACACACACACACACACACACAGGTGTTTGTCTCTCAGCAACAAACCTATAGTGTCCAGCTTCTTCAGAGTGGATCATTACAGGGGAGGGGGGCTTCCTCTCATCATGTCAAAGCTCTCACTAACAAGCTGAGTCACATACACTGTTTTATTGTTAGTTCCCACGTTGAATCTTAAAACATAATTGTTGATGGTTGGTTCAGTTGTCTAACTATTGTCTGTAATAGTTGTCCTCATTATATTGAATGCTTTCAAGGTTATCGTGCTGATCTGAACACAAGTATAACATATGTAAATGTTCCTACACTTTCAGGCATGGAATCAGTAAGTCAATAATGATTCTGTATGAGTGTATTTCAATGTACTGATGTACTGAGAGTGTTGAATTCATTGAATATGGTATTCTTATGCAAGCTTTTGCAAGCATTGATTAACATAGTGTATATGCTATGGATTATTCTCACTTACATTATCCTTCAATGTGATGATACTATATGCTGGCTGGGGCACGTTTAGCCTTTTTTTCAGGTCTTCCTCTCCTCCCTTACCGGTTGGTCTTTGAATGCACCTCTCTTTTTGCTTTAGGTGCAAACACAAACATTTGAAATCTGAGTGAAATACTGTTTCAATAAGTGAGAGATGCCAGGATTGTGGTGCATGTAGTTTATGAGAAGGTCTTAGTTTGTGTACATCACTTCTTCGGTTACTTGGAATTGATATTTACTATTGTCAGGTCCAGCTGTGAACGTTTGCCGTTCACATGCATGCAGGTTATTGTGGTTTTTAGTATTGTATGTGTTGAATTAGGACATGTTGCAGTTATATTCCGTCCTTTTATCCAGATATAGAAAGCCTGAGTAAGTCTGTGAACTCCTGTTTGAATAACTGAGACAGGCCAGACCTTTGCTGCATGTAGTGTATGTGGAGGTGAGATATTCCCAGCACAATATTGTCATGTGCAACCCTAGGAGATTTTACAATTCACATGCATGCATGCAGGCTGATTTTGTATTAATATATGAATATTGAGTAACATACGTTGTTTTATTGTTAGTACCTGGACACAGGTAGATCATCATACTGTATACATGTGTATACTGCTTCTGCATGCAAGTATTTGTGCACATATATGTATTTAAAATAAGGAAAGAATATATTCTCACTTATATTTCACTTACTTCAAATGAGATTATATTGATTATTGTCTGCTTGTGACCTTTCCTTAAGTCTTACATCTCCTTTCTATAACTCTTGTTCTTTCTATGAATGTGTTCTCTGTTCAGGCCGACTTGCAAACATGAAGGAGGCAATGTGTAGGAGTGTGAAATAATGTTTAAATCAATGTGAATGACCATGTTGGTGGTTCATGTAGTTTATGAGACTTTTTTCCTGCCCTTCATTTGTGTGCTTCTGTTCTCCAGCTACCTGAAGCTAAATTCAATATTGTCAAGTGCAAGTGTTAGGAAGGTTGTAATTCACATGCACGCAGGCTTATTGTGTTTTTGCATTACTGTTGGTGTTGAATTACGACATTTTCCTTTGAACATTTCCCTTGTTGTGCATTTATATTCCCCCTTCCTTCGCAGATATAGAGAGCCTGAATAAGTCTGTGAACTACTGTATGTGGAGGTGAGATTTTCCCAGATGTTATATTTAACATACAACTGTTGGAGATTGCATGCAGGCTGATTTTGTATTAATATCTGAAATGTAGCTAACAGCATCTCATTAACAGTTCCTGTATTGTTCCTCTCTTTGGAGCAGACATGAAGAGCAACAGCAGCCTGAACCCTCCCTACTTTCAGTTGACTCTGTTTGCAGACTTTGGGCCCCTCAGATACCTGTTCTTCATCTTGTGTCTGTTCATCTATGTGACTATAGTCTCTGCTAACATGGTCATTATTCTGGCAGTGTTCCTGGAGAAGGCTCTGCATCAGCCCATGTATATTTTCATCAGCTCTCTGTGTGTAAACTCTCTGTTTGGCTCAGCTGGATTCTTCCCCAGGTTCCTGCAGGACATCGTCTCTGACTCTCATTTGGTCTCACGTCCATTATGCTTTATTCAGGTGTATGTTATTTACACCTATGCTTCCTGTGAGATGACCATCCTCACCATCATGGCCTACGACAGATTCATTGCTATCTGTCAGCCCTTACACTACCACAGTAAAATGACCTTCAAATGGGTGCAGGTTCTTGTGCTCGTTGCTGTTTTATACCCAGTATTTACTATTGGCTTCTTACTCTATCTTACTGTTAGATTACCGCTGTGTGGAAATAAACTGAACCGGATTTTCTGCTCTAACTGGCCTGTGGTGCAGCTCTCCTGTGTGGACACCACTCCAAACAACATAGCTGGTCAGTTTCTCTCGGTGACCATCATCTTCATCCCCCTATTCTTCGTCCTGTACACATATCTACAGATTCTGCTGGTCTGCAGGAAGAGATCGTCTGAATTTAGAGGAAAGGCATTACAAACCTGCCTGCCTCACATCGTGTCCTTTATGACCTACTCCATCTCTCTCTTCCTCGAGGTGTCTTTAACTCGATTTGAGGCTGATCAACTGAATCCAAGCATCACAGTTATTTTGTCTTTAGCGTATCTGATCATTCCCCCCCTCAATAACCCTATCGTGTATGGCCTGGGTCTGCCTCAAATCAAAGGAGTCGTGTTAAGATTTCTGAAGAAGGGTCCTGCTGCTGAAATATAAAAGGAATATGTTGACCATGTTAGATTGTGTTTCCTATCATAATTATTTAAAGGGATACATGATTAGATAGAGATCAACATAAAGCACAACAACAATATTGTATATGCTTGATTTAACTCAGATTTGGCTTGAATTTCCCTCAAATGTTAAAATATTACTATTCTGTTAAATGTAATAGATTTAAAGTTAGAACACATATTATGTTCTGCCTCTTCATGCATATTTAAGGTCAATATTAAAATGTATTTTATTTGAACATGTCCTCATAAAAGTAGATTTGACAGGAATTCAGGTTTACTGTATGTTAGGCATTGTGATGTTACACCACTTACTGTTATTGTGTTTTAATGTTTTGTTGTGAATCATTCACCCTTTGTTACTATAATGAAAATGTAATGATTAAGTAATATATTCAATAAACAACAGTCTACAGCCATGTGAGTCCCTGCTTTTTCACCTTCACTTAAATGCTATTGTTAGCCATTTGGAACATGTTAAACCTTGAAGCATGCTAACATTAGATAATTATCAGTGCAGCTGAGGATTATGGGAATTGATAAACTATCAAGCTTTCTATGTTTGGCCCCCTGCCTTAACTTTAATGTTATACGTACAGTAAATTACAAAGATCGGCAGTTCTTTGTCCAAAACGTTTGCCTTGGTGAACTATTTTTGCAAGAACATATTTTGTGAAATGTTAGTAAGATTGGTCACTTTCCATGCAGGTTTAGTATGAACTTGCTGTTTTCAAAAGAAAGTGGTTTGCATTAACAATTGTAATGTATCTATGATAGAAGTAGAATAAACACTAAATAACCAAATATAATATCACAAAAAGCGGGCCTGAAACCTGACATTCACTTTTAGGACCAAACTGACAGTTGTTCTTGTGGTCTTGGGTCAAAATGTTTATTTTCAAAAATATATTACCTTCCACGAAATTACATATGGAAATTGCTTCTGTTGTCCCAGTTTTATTAATTTGATTAACAAGACAACTTTCAGGGATTTTCACTAACTGCTGGCCGAAGTGAAGTTCTTACCTGGCTGGATTATGGACTTCCTCCAGACATGCGTTTCCCGGCCTGCTAGCCCCAGGCATGCTAACCCCCTGCCTGCCACAGTTCCCAACTTAGCTTATTTTCGAGAACGCTTTTGATGGGTCTCGTCTGTCTTTTGGAGGTCCACGGAACCTCCAAAAGACCTCTAAGAAGCGTAAGGTCAGGAAGCCAGCTCGTACTCGGGTACCGGTCCCAGCAGCCATGGTTCCGGCTCCAGTGCCGGCCCCAGCAGACATGGTCCCTGCTCCAGAACCGGACCTTACGGCCATGTTTCCGTGCTCCATTGCCGGCCCACACAGTCATGGTACCGTGCTCCAGTACCATCCCACACAGCCATGGTTCCGAGTTCCGGTTCCGTGCCCAGCAGCCATGGTTCCGGCCCCAGTTCTGGCCCCAGCAGCCATGGTTCCAGCCTCAGTCCTGGCCCCAGCAGCCAGGGTCCAGGCTTCTGTTCCGTGCCCAACAGTCATGGTTCCGGCTCCAGAACCGGCCCTAGCAGCCATGGTTTCGGCTTCAGTATCGGCCCCGACTCCAGATTCGGCTCCAGTACTGGCTCTCCGGCCGACGCCAGCTCCCCGTGTCCTGTCGGCGTACCGGCCGACGCCAGCTCCCCGTGTCCTGTCGACGTACCGGCCGACGCCAGCTCCCCGTGTCCTGTCGATGTGTACCGGCCGACTCCAGCACCTTGTGTTCTGTCGGCGTACCGACCGTCTCAAGTCCCCTCTCGAGTCCCCTCTGAAGTTTCCTCTCGAGTACCCTCTCGAGTCCCCTCTCGAGTTCCTTCTCAGGTCCCCTCTCGAGTCTCTTCTCAAGTTCCCTCTCGAGTCACCTCTCGAGTCCCCTCTCGAGTCACCTCTCGAGTCCCCTCTCCAGTTCCCTCTCGAGTCTCCTCTCGAGTCCCCTCTCCAGTTCCTTCTCGAGTCTCCTCTCGAGTTCCCTCTCAAGTTCCCTCTGGAATCCTCTTTCAAGTCATCTCTCGAGTTCCCTCTCAAGTCACCTCTCAAGTCTCCCCTCGAGTTCCCTCTCGAGTCTCCTCTCGAGTTCCCTCTCAAGTCCCCTTTCAAGTCCCTTCTCGAGTCTCCTCTCGAGTTCCCTCTCAAGTTCCCTCAGGAATCCTCTTTCAAGTCATCTCTCGAGTTCCCGCTCAAGTCACCTCTCGAGTTCCCTCTCAAGTCCCCTTTCAAGTCCCTTTTCAAGTCACCCTCTCGAGTCCCCTCTCGAGTCCCTACCCAATGTCCTGGTCCGTTGGAGGTTCCGCTGGGGGTCCTGCCAACTCCGTGTCCTGTCCCTTTGGGGGTCCCGCCGACTACTCTTTCTGCCGGGGGTCCTGCCAACCCTATGTCCTGTGCCGTTGGAGGCCCGCCGACTACTCTTCTGCCGGGGGTCCTGCCAACCCTATGTCCTGTGCCGTTGGAGGCCCCGTCGACACCTGCTCCGCCGGGTTTCCTGCCAACACCATGTCCTGTCCTGTTGGGGGTCCCACCGACACCTGCTCCGCCGGGTTTCCTGCCAACACCATGTCCTGTCCTGTTTCGGGTCCCATCGACACCAGCCCTTGCTCCATCGTGGGTCCCACTGACACCAGCCCATGTTCCGTCTAGGGTCCCGTCTACGCCTGACCCGCCAGGGGTCCCACCAGCTCCTGCCCGTCCTTGTGCCCGGCCCCCTGAGTTCCCCAGCCGTGGTCTTCGCCCTCGGGCCCGGCCCCCTGACTCTTCCAGCCATGGTCTTCGCCCTCGAGCCCGGCCCCCTGAGTGCCGCGGTCTTCGCCCTCAATCCCGGCCCCCTGACTTTCCCGGCCGCGGTCCTCGCCCTCGGGCCCGGCCCCCTGACTCTTCCAGCCGCTGCCTTCGCCCTCATGCCTGGCCCCCTGAGTTCGCCTGCTGTGGCCTTCACCCCTTTATGAACTCTGCCTTGACCCCGGGCCGTCCGCCTGAGACCCCCACCACGAACTCTGCCTTGCCCCCTGGGCCGTCCGCCCGAAGTTTGGACTTTATTTGTGTGTTTAGGGACGTCTAGAATCTGTCCCTTGAGGGGGGGTGTTCTGTCACGATTCTTATGTCATGTCACGGTTTTAGTTTTGTGTCTGGTAATGTTTGTTTTTTTGCTGTTATTTTCTCTCTGTGTTTTCCTCCCTGTCGTTAGTTTCCCTGGTGTGTCTGATTGTCTAATTGTGTTCACCTGTTGCCCTTGTGTTTCTGCCTCCCCTGCCCGGCTGTTTCTCGTCTCATGATTACCCCTCCCTGTATTTAGTCTTGTCTCTTCCTGTGTTCCCTTGTCGGTTCATTGTTTGTTTCATGTCTCCCTTCATGTTGGTCACAGTCACCCTTTCACCCTCACCCACCCCCCTGGAGATCGCTGAACACATGAAGGAGATAGAGGGTTGGCACCGATTCCTTCCTGGAGTTCAATAACCAAACTAGGGCGATACGCAGGGCTGGCAGCATGTCCTTTACCACGCTCTTCAACGACGCCCATCAAAATCACTGAAGCAGAGACGCGCACCAACACCCCCGTCACCATGCCTACCACAATCATCTGGACCAAAACGTCCTCCCCCCCTTCAAGACTGCTGTCTCCGAAGCCTGATAAGGATGTGTGTGTAAAAAATGCAAACACTGACTGATATATGCTGGGTCCAGGCTCAAGGGCGTATGGCACTCTCAACTCTTTCAAGGACATGCCGGGGCCCTGCCTGCCTGTAGCTTTGCCGATATCTGTGTTGATAGGTAATAGATTAAGAGCGGTGAATCAGCTTAGACACAGGAAGTGCTCAAAAGTTTGTGTAAGTTTATCAAATTTAGAAGTGATTCCATGTCAGCCACAGCTTGTTACAAAAAACCTGACTGATAGTGTGTTTAACAAACTTAAACTAGCTTTATTAAATGTCAGGTCTTTGGCAGGAAAAATATTTTTAATCAATGATTTTATCACTGAGCACAATCTCGATTTTATGTTTTTAATGGAAACATGGATTGAACAAAATAACAGTGCAGCTGTTCTTATCGAATCAACCCCTCCCAACTTTAGTTTTATGAGTCAGGAAAGAATGCATAAGAAAGGGGGTGGAGTTGCTATTTTGTACAATGATTCCCTTCAATGCAGGAAGACATCTTATGGGAACTTTGCTTCTTTTGAATATGTGGCCCTTCAGCTGAAATGCTCCTCTCGAGCTCTGTTCCTAAATATCTATAGACCACCCAAATACTGTGCAAGCTTTTTTGATGACTTTACTGAACTGCTGTCTATAGTGTGTATTAACTTTGACTGTCTAGTCATTGTTGTTGATTTTAACATCCATGTTGACAACCCCCAGGACAGAGGGGCTAAAGAACTGTTTTGTGTTCTTGATAGCTATGGACTGACTCAGCATGTGACGGAGCCCACGCACAATAAGGGGCACACTCTGGTCTTAATTATCTCAAAGGGTCTGAATATCTCTAAGGTTGTGGTGACTGATGTTGCACTCTCTGACCATTCCTGTGTTTTCTTTGAGAGCTCTATTTCTGTTCACAAAAATGTTCAAAAAGAGGTAACCACAAAGCGATATTTAACTGAAAATACTAGGGAAATGTTTACTCAGAATTTTTCTTCCACACTTGCCCCTGCTAACATCTCAGTAAATGAGCTAGAAGATCATTTTAATTCAAAAATTAAAAATGTTATAGATGCCATTGCTCCAACTAAGGTAAAGGAAGTGACTGGGAAGAAAATATCTCCATGGAGAAAGGCCATGACCGTGAGAACAGAGAAAAAAGAGAATGTCGAAAAGCTGAACGCAGGTGGCGAAAAACAAATCTCCAGGTGCACTTTGAAATCTATAAAGAGAGACTTGGCCTTTATAATTTGGAATTGAAATTTGCCCGACAGTCTTTCTTCTCTGATATCATTGCCAAAAACAAAAACAACGCACGTGCCTTGTTTGCTACCGTCGACAGACTAACTAACCCCCCAGTGTCAGTAGCCTCTGAATTTCTATCCACCAGGGCGTGCAATGATTTTGCCTCCTTCTTCACTGACAACATTCAGAAAATCAGACAAGCAGTCAGTGCCTCTGCATCAGGAACAGCAAATGTTTTGTCTCTGTGTCCACCTAATATCAATTCATACATCATGACACAATTCCATCAGATCAATGATAAATACCTAGAGGACATTATACAACTTCTGAAATCCTCCTCCTGCTGCCTTGATATTATTCCAACAGGGTTTTTCAAAAATGTTTTTCCTTGCATGGACTCAGATCTACTTCATATAGTAAACAAGTCTCTTCACTCAGGTATTTTTCCACAGGCCCTGAAAACTGCAGTCATTAAACCGCTCTTAAAAAAGAATAATCTAGATGCTTCAGTAATGAACAATTACAGGCCCATAT